TCCCAGATCAGCTTCTCTCATTGGTTGATGCGGCGCGTCCAGCAGCTAAAGTTCATTTTTTCCAACTCTAGCAGCTGCTGCTAATGAAGCGTGTCAGATGCTCAGAGGCTCATGAGGCGCTGCTCCTGCTTCTCAAAACGTGCTGAAGGACCTTTTGCTGCACCTTGATGCGCGTCATCCATTGACATTGCATGTAAACCTGCTGCTTCTGCAGCGTGCGCTCTGAACGTAGCATAAGTCTGCTGGAAAACCAAACTAGTCTGAAAGACAAAACCATTTCAAGTCAGTCTTTTAATCGGAGCCGCTAACCAATCTGGACCCTGAGGCTGGGTTTATTCATTGTCCTTCGAATAATCGATTAATAATGTGATAACCAAAGACTCTAAAGATTTATTACATAATGAAACCAGGTGAAACTAAAACTTTTCTGCTTGAGGAGTTCAGGATTATAGAGCAGATTGACAGAAACATATTTTTTGTCTTAAATGCAAAATGTTTATACATCATTTTTAAAATGTATCCTGCCCTAAGTGGGTCACTCTGACAGCTAAAGGCATGTTTTACAGTCTCTATACTCCATTAAATGATTAATCGATTACTATTATTTTTAATAATCGATTAATCTGATTGTTTCAGCCTTAGCTGGATTTGTTTGGTTCTGAATCTCCATGTTTTCCTCTTGTAGGTGAAGCACCTTCAGAAGCCCTACGAGATCAACCTGATGGAGGAGCTGACCTTGAAGGGCATCACTCAGTTCTACGCCTACGTGACCGAACGGCAGAAGGTCCACTGCCTCAACACGCTGTTCTCCAGGGTAACGCAATCACTGGATCCCAAAAACGGGAAAACTTGCCTCCTGCGGGCCCGGTACCGGGCCTAACTGACACCAGCTGTTGTTTATCTATTTATAGAAACGGCCCAAACACAGTCACATGGTGTTTCATCCACATGCCTTTCAAATTGGGCTTTAAACATAAAACACTGTTTTATAGCTGTGTGAACAAATAAAATGAGATTTAAAATTCCACCTGACATGTGTGACTCTGCAGGAGTAATGCAACTGCAGGTTTTGGCCCCGCCCCCCAAATGGCCGCCATCATTTGAAACTAGAGGCTCAGACTTTTCCAAGGAGGGGTCGGAGGTGGCCACTTTTGGCATCACATTTCCTCCTCGCACGCTGCCCTCTGAACCCTCTGTGGAACAAACGTGCTTCAACTTATTGAGTCCAAATTAGCTTGAATTCAAGTCAAGATGCGGATCAATAAAGTCTGAGTTTCATCCAGAGTTTCTAATGGGGTTTCATGGTGTTTTACAGCGGTTATTTTGGAAAAAAAATTTGCTGGGTTTCCGAGGTGCGTTAAAAGTCATTAAATTATTATTTTTTTTAAATTAAGGCCTTAATTTGTATTGGAATTAATTAAATGTGATTATCGTGGCATTTAAAATGCTTTAAAAATTTGTTTCTAAAATCAATTTCGACAGATACATCACATATAACTGGTTCTGCGTGTTTGCGCAGAGCTGCTTCCTGTTGATCGTAAAGCCTTAAGGGCAGATAAGACTTCTGCAGCCGCACACATCAAATGTCGCTTGCGTCTGGTCGCGAACCAATTTAGCTGGTATGCTTCTGGACCAACGGTCTGGAATTTCTAGGGACACACAGCAGTTTCCCGCTAAAGCGCAAGGGGGAGCCTATTGGAGAACTCACGAGAAGTTCGGCGGCGCCAGCCGGAGTGTTTATCTTCCAAAACAACAATGGCGCGTCTGCAAGATGTCGCAGAGAGGGATCTAGAGTTGCTAGACATCGAAGAGGAAGAGGTTCGGTTAATGGAGTTGGCAAAAAGACCGATTTAATCTTTGGTGACTGTTGTCCATTGTAGTTGTTCCTCAGTTTTTAAAAACTTATTATTTTTATTATTAGTTTTTAAAAACTGAGGAACCAAATCCGGCACCAAATCGAGAGAAAGGACCACACAGACGGTCGGAAAGGAACACCAAGGACCAATCACAGCCGCGTTTTGCCTGCATACTTTCGCTTGAGGTCTGTGTGGGTTTGCGACCGTCCGACGCGTAGTCAGGAGTTTTTTAAGGAACCGATTTCACGGATGCAGAGGCTCCACATCAGACGTATAAATTGGCCTTTATGTTCGCAAAGAAAACATAGAAAAAGGCTAGAGAATCGGGAAAATGCTAACTTCAACAAAAGTTGCTGGAAAACGAGGAATTTGGGAGTCATGGCTGAAGTGTGTGTGTGTGTGTGTGTGTATGTGTGTGTGTGTGTATATATATATATATATATAGATATAGATATATAGAGATATAGATAGATGAATGAATGAATGTGAGTCATGGCTACTTGTTGATGGCGTTAAAATTAGATTAAATTAGAGTTACTCATTCCTGTATTTCTCTTTATAATCATATTAATCCAAACCATTGTATTTCTAATTTATATTTTGGGAGCTGCTCTCCTTTAATTCACATGTAATTTCAGGTGGAATTTGCTCCTAAGACTCTCAGGGTTAAAACTTGCGATCCAGTAAAGACTGGTCAGTAATGGATGATCTCTGTTCTCTTCCAGCTTCAGATCAACCAGTCCATCATCTTCTGTAACTCCACTCAGAGGGTGGAGCTCCTGGCCAAGAAGATCACCCAGCTGGGATACTCCTGCTTCTACATCCATGCCAAGATGATGCAGGTGGAGATTCCTTCTGCTTCTTCCTCACTTTTATTCAACTCTCAGCGTGTTTTTTTTAAACCGATTTCTGTTTTAATTTTTTTTCTGTGCAGGAATACAGGAACCGCGTGTTCCATGACTTTAGAAACGGCCTGTGCCGGAACCTGGTCTGCACCGGTGAGGTTTTCCTTTTTTCTGTCCTGGATTTTTTTTATTTTTTATTTATTAGTTGTAGGTTGTTGGGTTTTGGTTTGTGAGGCTGATCCCATCCTGCTGTTCGCCAACAGATCTCTTCACCAGAGGAATCGACATCCAGGCTGTGAACGTCGTCATCAACTTTGATTTCCCTAAAAATGCTGAAACATACCTTCATCGCATCGGAAGATCAGGTGGGTAGAGAAGTCAGTCCGTGGATCCTGGCAGCGTTCATGCGCTGATCTGATTGGCTCGCTGCTTCAGACGCTGAGCGGCCGATCAAAGTATTCTACCGTCTGTATATCTGCCCACTTCCTGTTACCAGTGGAGTAGATTTAATCACATTCAAATCAAAGTCCAATAGAACCAGTGATGCTAATAATTAATTAACTTATCTAAAGTTTATTGATCTTATTGATCAAGTTACACTAATTGATTTCAGTGGGTTTTTTTCTTGTAAATTTTTCAGTGTCGTAAAAGGTTTGATAACTTTTAACATTTATAGTTCTATTAAATTCTGACAGATTAAACTAAAACATTTTTGCTAAAACTCCCCCCCCCCCAATGCCAGATGTCCCAGAATCTCATAAAATGCAGAACTTTATGCATTTTTATTTTCCTATTTTGGGCGTATACATAAAGTATTCCTAACGAGTCCAGAACTTCTGTCCAACAACAGCCTAGCTTATGCATAACGCACGGCAGCGTAATGTCCTGAGGGGGGCAGCAATGCGCCCAGTAAGCATGAAAAATATGTCTTTGATCGCAGTATTAACCTAGCTGCTGTTTATCGCACATCAAAAAAAAGAATATATAAAAAGAAAAAGAAAGCAGGTTTCTGGTGTCAGCAGATTTGAGCGTCATGTCTGCTAGGAAGTGTGTTGGTGGTGGGCGTGAACGCAGGGAGGATCCATCACTCACCTTCTGGCTCACCCTATGATGGGGATGAAGTCTGGAGGAGAACTGACGGTTTCCTCCTGTGAACCCCCTTTATAGCAAAACGCTGCCAATACGCCATTATACAGTAGCTGGAAGTTAGAAACACGTTCAGCGCTCGTCTGGAACACGGCAGATACGCTGATATGTTGGAGAGAAGTTCTGGATAAGTTACGTATAAGTTACTCAGAGGTTTAGGATCAGCTAGACGGCACGACTGATGAGGAACTGACACTGAACGGATGTCAACCATCAAATAACTGACCTGGAACTGACGGCCCACGGATGTAGGGCCAAATTCCGTTTAATTTTTCCCCAAATTCCGTTTAATTTTTTCCCAAATTTCGTTTTTTCCGTTTTTAATTTTTGAAAATTCCGTTTTTTCCGTTTTTAATTTTTGAAAATTCTGTTTTTTCCGTTTTTAATTTTTGAAAATTCTGTTTTTGATTTTTGAAAATTCCGTTTTTTCCGTTTTATGTATGTATTTTTGCGCTTCCCATCAATGGAATGTTTACAAAACTTGCGAAACAATAGTTCAGCTGACACGTAAAAGCCATGAGGGAACTGCTCGGCTCTGTACTCGGGGCTTAGCCTCGGGTTTTTCAACTGTTTCGCCGAAAGCGAAGCGGTGGAGAGCCGCTTCGCCTTTTTTTTTCAATGTTTTGATGGGGGAGGGTTAGCAGAAATGACAGCGAAGGAGGGGTTGTGTCGCCCAGATTTGCGTCTCCCCCGGTGTGCATTTCCCCCCCGACGTACGTTCTTCACCCACACAAAAACAGAATTTCATTTGAAATGTAGAAATTCCGCATTTACACTAGATTCCGCGTTAATTTGCCAATTCCGCGATTCCGTGATCGGGGAAATTATAGGAAAGTTTGAGGATGCTCAAAACTTCTCGACCTACTTTCCGTATGTCGACTTGCGCCAACGTACTCATAACTGATAGAAAATGTAACCGTAACTAATCCAAAGTGTTTGCCAGATTTTTCGTACGTCAGGCATACGCTGGTCTAAATCGCCATGGAGTGACGGGGTCTTACGAAGATATAACAAAATGGGAAGCTTTAAGGTTCGGTCATGAGATCCAAATGATCGTTACGTCAGAACTTATGCCTTCTCATCTTAACTGTATTCACTCTTTTCAAAAAAAGTGAAAAAAAAATGTGAAACTCCTCTGATTCTAATAACTGTGGTTCTAGAATGCCTCCATTCTGGCATTTCTTCCATTGTAAATACCTTGAGGCTCTGCTATGGAATAATAGCGGCGCCTTCTAGTGGACAGCGATAACATTACAACAACGGCAAAAATTCATTTAAGTGAACATTTTACGATAGATGGAGCAAAGTTTTTCCTTTAAATAAAGCTCATCTCTTTTAGTAGGTGTTATTTAAAGTCGTGTCTCTGATTTTAGTTGACTGAAGGTAAAATGGCTCCTAGGTGTAAAGTTTACAGACTTCTGGGTTGGATCAAGTCTCTGCAGATCCTGCTTTTTGAGTTTTACTCTGAAAAGATACGAACGCAAATTAAAAAAACCTCAACTTTCTTCCTGCGGCTCTCAGGGAGGTTTGGCCACCTGGGTCTGGCCATCAACCTGATCACCTCAGAGGACCGCTTCAACCTGAAGGCCATCGAGGAGCAGCTGGTGACCGACATCAAGCCCATCCCCAGCAGCATCGACAGGAGCCTGTATGTGGCCGAGTACCACACCAGCAGCGGCGACTGTGAGGTGGAGGAGGTGGAGGAGAAACCCCAACGCCAGCAGGACAGCACCTAAGACAGGTGAGCCACCAGAGTCCAGCTTAACTAAGATGCCCTCCTCCGCCTTCAAATCTAACTAAACCTGCTGAGGGAATTATCTTCTATGTTCCAAACTAAGAAAAAAAAATATCTGTATTGAAGTTAGGAAAAAAATGCAATCAGAAATAAAGCCGAATCAGATTTAGTTTCCGATCCGACAGAAAATGGTGCTTTACAGGTCGTGGTATTTAGCGCTCATTAAGTCGATGGTGACATCAGTTCCTGCAGGGGGCAGCGTAGCTCCGACTGAAATAGAGTCCAGGTCTATTTTATTCGGACTACGCAATAACTTGATGGGTCTGACTGGAAGAGAGACGCAGTAAAAAAAGTGAAGCCACCAGCCGCCATATTGGTACTCCCTACTCCCTCAGAGACTTTCATTAAAAACGCCTCCCTGTTCAGCATCTGGCTGCAGAAACCAGCAGTTTTCTGTCTGCAGGAAGACGTTCCACTGGTCATTTCCCAGTCAGTGGATGAACGAAGCAATAAAACCATCTATAGCCGATGGATCCTATAGTTTAGTCTGCAGACTAACTTTAGTCTGGCTATCTCAGACTGACTGGAAGACATTGACTGAGTTAGACACTGACATTGGGTCTAACGTTAGAAAATAGAGGAAATAGAAAGTAATTCACAGTGAAATGTTAATGTAGGAATTCTTTATTAAATTGATGCTGTAGTTTTTGTAGCATTTGTTCTATTTCTCATTTAAAAAAAATAATTTGCTTAAATATATTGAAGGTTATATTGATGGAAAAAACAACTCGACCATTTTTAAAGGCTAATTCACAGACACAGCATAAAGTATATGGCATTATTCATGCATAATTTGCAAATAGGAAAATTCTACAGCATTAACAGACATTTACTTTTAATTCAGTCTTGATGTAAAATTTTGAAATTATATGTAACATGTTGTAACAATATCATAAATGCATGTATATTACATCTGCATTGTTATGCTCCATTAACACGTTAATGTTACTGTGATGGATTTATGTTATTTTACAGGATTTATAGACTTCATTAAGTTAAAATAATCTACTGATGCTCTGAAACAGCCAGTGCGCGTCGTTTTCAGGGGGACTAATGGCTTTTAAAATAATCGTTGTTTGATGCTGTAGCACAGATTGGTTACATTGCGACTGGTCTAACTAGGGAGTACCAATATGGCAGCAGGCGACTTCACTCCAACCCCGTACTACCAACCGGCAATCCAGGGAAAAGAGATCAGTTTGATGCTGCTGCTAAAAGATTTCCTGATTTGTCAAACTGATGCTAAAGTAGAACTTCACACGATGCTCCACATTCCTCATTAGAGGGAAGAAAGAGTTGTCTTAAAATACAACACTTTACTCGTAATTTTAGGACTTTATTATCCTAATATTCCGACTTTATTCTCAGAATTTTGTGACTTTCTTGTAATTTTCCGTTACAACTTTATTCCCGAAATAGAAAAGAAAATCTCTAGCCTGGCCCTAATTCTCCGCTAGTTCAGAGCTTAAAACTTTTAACTGACAGCAGTTTAATCTGAAATGTTTGACTCCACATTTGTTTTTATTTTAAGGCGGTGGGGGGTTTGTCCCTCTGCAGGAATCTGGTTCCTAATCGGATCGTCTTCTCCTCCTCAGATCATCCAGACACTCCGGGCTAAAGCAACTCTACCCTCCCTCCTCATCCCCGCTACCCAGAGCGCCGCACGGCGGCATAAAGCTCCCTTCACTTCCTCAGTTCTTCTGGTTCAAAGCTGTTGTTCTGCATCGTCCTCCGATCCTACCAGTCCGCTTCCCTCCGCAGCCGCCGCTCCCTCAGGTGGACGTCCAGCCGCCGCTCTGACACCTGCTGTTGTCACTCAAGTGCCTTAATCCCCCCCGTGCACGCTCCCCTCAGTCCTGCTGCAGCAGCAGAGTACGAGCACAAACAGCAACCCCCCCCCCACTGTCTCACCATCTGTTATGCAAGAAAAATGAGAAAACGTGGCATTCTCCTGGTGAGGTGTGTTTTTTGAAGTGTTGCAATAAAAAAGGCAGCTTTCTTTAAATATTGCGTGACTGTTTCGCCCTCCTGATGGATCCTAAACGAATAGACCCCCCCCACCCCCGCATGGATTCACGGCCGTGCACGGGAGCCTCCCTCTCTACGCGATCTGGCTGCTGCGTACCGGGGGGGGCGGCTGCTTCGGACCCCCAACCCGACGCTGATGCAGAACAACAGTTTTCCCCTCGTCCAGCTCGGACGCGTCCCGCAGCGAATGTATGTGATGCCAACGTTTGTTCCGCCGCCTGGTTGGGATCCATCCACCGAGACGCTTCTCTGAAATCCGCACTTTGTTGCCGGGAATGAAGCTTTTCCAGGAACCAGGATGGACGTCTGATTCCCATCAGATTTTCTTTGTCAATTTTTCAGCTAAACCAGACGGTGGTTCAGTTTCTGCACCAGAACCGAACCCCAGCGACCCAGTTATCCCAACCGAGCCCACAAACCTTTCCAAAATGTCCTTTTTTTGTTGTTTGTTGCGGCTGCTGCTGTCTGAAACGTCCCGGTTTTTACTTCCCGGTTGGACCCGGAAGTGATGAAACCATCACCGTGTTAGAAAAGGATCTGCAGCGGCCGCCGTTCCACCTTTCCTCTCCTCCTGCTGGACTCCAGCGTGTTTCTGAATGAGCGTCGATTTGGACTCTGCAGGACTGTAGCATCTTAAACAGGCAGCTGGGGTTTCTCTGTTCTCCCCTTACAGAGCGTCACTAATGATTAAAAAAACAAAAAAAAGAAACAAAAAAAAAAAGTTTTGCTTTTTCAGATTATCGGGAAGCTCTCTGTGCATCTTAAATCTCTGGTACTTAAATCAGAACAAATCTTTTATTTGAATTATCTTTTTTTTTTCACCAAAAACAGTTTATTTGTGTTTGAAGCGGAGAGGTTCTGAAAGCACTGTGATCTTCTCCGCCATCGTTTCTCCAACAGAGCAATCTTCTTTAACGAGGTGTTTAAAAAATCCTCTGGAAGCAAAGAGGGAAGCTGTAAATCAATCTGTTTACATTTTCCGGTTTAAACCAGAAAACATTTGGCTTCGTCTGAAGATCTTTTTTTTTTTTTTTAGGTTTCTAGAAACTGATTTTCAGGATTGAAGCAAAACCAAAAAAGGTGAATGTGTGTTGGAGGCGAGGGCGGCGTGTGAGAGGAGCGTTTGTGGGCGTGGCTGAAAATCCCGACATGCAGATTCTGCCGAACCGCAACCGGAATCGGAAAGATAAGTTAAGCTGCATGTCGGCGAGTGTCTGTTTATCGTTTTTTTTTTATCTGATCTGACATTGGAAGAGTCGGGCGCCGGATCAGATTTCCAGCTGTCGTCAGGGATGTGATCCGTTTTAGTTTTTCCTTCTTCTCCAGAAATGTTGTCATAAAAGTTCCCGCCTCCTTTTCGGATCACGTCCCTGATGACGAATCCATCATCACCTCCTCTAGGTTCCAGTTCAAGCATTGGCTGATGCCACCCAGCCTTTATTCCCATTTAACTTTGGTTTCCCAGATTAAACTGAATATTCCCACTGGAAGGAAAACGATAAATGAATCCTTTGTTTAGAGACGGATCCAGATTAAATCCCTGGAACTGGAGGAGGTGATGAGTGTTCTGTGAGTCTGCTGTCTTTGTGTTTTTGTGTCTGAGCTCCGATGTGGAGCGTGTTGGGGGTGGGGGGGTGTTAAACCCAAACTAAATCTAAACCTGGGATGGGTTCAGGGTTCGAGTGATTTCCTAGAGGAGGAAAATAAACCAAAACATCGACGCCATGATTTGAATTTCTAAGTTTTCAGAGTTAAATTTGATCTCCCGATTTAAACCCGGCCTGCTGCCGGAGGCGTCCGATGACGTCCCGATTAAAAACTGTTCAATTAGGCTCAAACGTCCTGCAGGCTTTTTTCCTTCTTTCAATTCGGACTTTTTGTTCAGGAATTCTGTTTATTTTCCTCCTAAATGCCCTCAGGGTTTATTGACATTAAATTAAGAGAAATAAAACTTTAATTGGTTGATCTACAAAACTGTAATTTCTTTTTCTTGTTTTTTTTTTCCTGTAAGAAAACTCCAGTAAGATTTTGACCAAACTGCCCTCTACTGGTGTAACCTGGAAAAACATGCAGGGATTCAAAATTCAATAAATTGGCCTGAACTTTATTTTGTCTCGTTGGTTTTTTGTGTCTTTGATTTTCACACATTTTAACAAACCATTCAGCCTCCATAGTGAGATTATTAATTATTCTATAATTCCCAGTCGTCTTTAATCAACTCATTTTAAGAATACTCTGAATGTCGTTGAGCAGATCATTTCTGGTCCTGCTATATTTGGATTGTAGGTTTTTTTTTCTTCTCCAGGTTTGTTAATCCAGTATGTTCTTGTTTGATTTTACTAGGGCGACATCTATCGATTTATTTTAGTAATCCATCTCATTTTTCGGAGCTCGTCTGCCTGGCTGTGTGTTTCCTGGACGGGGCCGCCTGTGGAGCTGGTTGACAGTTGCCTTTT